ATATGTTTCTTATTTAGCCCGACATTAAAATGGTATTCACATCCTTGAAAACTATTTCAAGTCCAGTCATGTTTAAAAACCTCAGTCGAGTCCCTTTAACTTTCAATATCGCCTTCTCTCTGAACAATTAAAAAATCAACAAGTATTTAAGACGTCATTTCAAGTTAATGTGGTTCATTCTTTGACAATACATTACAATAAATTATTATTATATTCGTCAATGTTAAGTTTAGTAACAAAATAAATACATATATTGATAACTCATAAAAAAGCGTTACAATATATGTAACACTTCTAATTAATGCCATCTAAACAATTTCCATTCACGAATGTTGATATAACTTTAAGCGCTATAAAACGTAAATATACTTGTTTTTTCCACACTGTTTATAGTAAAGCTCGTGAGATTAACATCGGTCATTTTTGGGGAGGCTATGCCTCCCCAATGTAATTACCATCGGTCAAATCTTACTGCCGCGGTAATCAGGTCAAAAAATAGAACCTTGATTTTTTCTAAGCTGACTGATCACTCATCAAAGACATTTACAATATGAAAATATTTTCATTCTTTTATTTCATATCAGATAATAATTCTCTGAAAAAATTCTTGATTTTTGTTTGTTATTTTTTCAAAATCACTACTCCGTGACGTCATACTGCCGCGGTAATCAGGTTTACGCATACGTACGTTGGTAATAAATAGTTCTGGTATGAAATCCCTTCTATATAATAACTTTATCAATATTTTTTTAAACAAAAAGCATAAATGAAAATTTATAGGTAAATGCTTTAATAAGGTGGCAAATATTCTTTATTATCTTTGATAACAATTTTCAAATTACTACGCAGCGACCAACTGTTTATGACGGGTCATTAAGTAGAACGTTGCAAACCGTAGTCTCAATATCATGCATGTTCTTTTGTTGTTATAAACCATTAATAGTCCTTAATATTTTTTAAAGACAAATAATGGTAAACTGTCGCTTACATCAGAGACATGGATCATGCTTGCGTGATAACTAAGGAAAACTAACTTATTAGTACACCCTAGGAGGCTGTACGCGGAAAACGCTCATAAACCGCTATATCATATAGCTGTTAGTAAATATTTTGCATACATTTAACTAATCAAAGCACAGAAGGCGCTGAATTTGTTTGGGTCTCAGAATGTAAGAAAGGTGCAGGTTGTGAGATTATATGTATAGTGCCACCAATGCTTTCCAGCGTTTTAATTGTAGTAAATTGGCTATAAGACTAATTGCAACACTGATATTCAATCCAATGTTTATTTGACCTCAACAATTTGAAAAAAAAATGAGTTACCTTTACTGGGATTTGAACTCCAGACCTATCGCTTCCTAAGCGAGCCCGAAAACCCTTCAGCCACGGTGAATTTATATGTGAACGGGCTGAAGAAAACCATATTATTCTAAATTTGGGCTTGTAACGACTTTAACTGTTGTTTAACACAGATGTAAATAATCCTGGAGCTTACTATAAGCATTTATATTTATAAAGAATCAAAGGGCTGCAAGTTCTGTGGTATTTTCTGATCTTTGCAATCTAAATCGTACTGTATATCTGTATGCATTTTCCTGTATAGGTTTTTTTTTATGTATTATAATTCATTTTGCAAGGCACCAGAGTTTGATACATACGGAATTCTGCATAACTAGAGTTGCATCAAAAAATCATTTATGTTCATTTTTTTCGACAGCCACACTTTATCCTTGCATATCATGGCTACTTCCTTAACAAAAACACTTAAAAAAGAATTTAACAAAAAAAAAAGTTTCCTCGATTGGGATTCGAAATCGAGACCTCTCACCCAATAAGCGAGCGCGTTACCACTGTACCACGGAGAAGTTATACATGGAAAGTCTGAATAATATCTAGTCATTCTAAATTTAGAACTTCCATTGCATTTCGGGTTTGTAATCCTTATTAATTTCGAGGTATTTTGTTCAGGGTAAACCTGTTGTTTAAAATTGAAGTAAATATTTTAGCGAAAATCCTCTCGCCGAAACAGTCCGACATGTAGAATCTATATATTCCACTACTCGGTGTGTGTAGTATTCGGTAATAAATAGTATTTTCATTGATAAAATCATATTCATCCGCGTAATTTGTGATTGTGCAATTATTGACAATTCTATAAGCCAACGCTATTGTTTAACTTTAAATGCGTTGTAATTTGTTGGATACTTGTAACAAAATAAAATATTTCTTTCTTTTAAATCGCTAGTTTTAAGCTGTTTTGAGAACTACTTGTTGTTAGGTTTGTCGTAAACTTCTGTGTCAGAGATTGAATGTCCGCTTTGTATTTAGTTATTTTCGATCAGAAAATACAATAAAACAATATTAGAAATCTTCGACCATTCGGGAATTACTTTGCTTGAAAATTGATGCGCCTGTCTTTGACCATCTTTACGCAGTGATCTCCCCTGAATTTTTCGGCTTTAGTGTACATACAAAAGGGAAGTAACCGCTTCAAAAAAGTGGACTACTTTCGGCATTTGCAATTAACAACATTAGACTCTGAAATTTCGCTACCATTATTTGTTTGGTCTGACGACCCAAACAAATAAAAATTCACTGATGGTGATGAACATATAGGTTGAAAACATTATATTCTTAAACCATGTATCGCCGAAAAAAACTATTTAACTACAAAATCCGTAAGGACTCTTCAACAAAATTTCACCGCAAGATTACATTTTATATTAGCAAAATAAAAAAAGCAATACTTATATTTTCATATTACATAATTCATTAATCAAACTTTTAACATAAAAGTATCTTTTAAAAATATGTCTGGCAATTGACAGATCCCTACTCTGATCTTTTATTTGTATAGGAATAAATTAAAACATGTGCTCTTTTGTTTAAGAATATTTTGTAGTGAAAGTCTTAATATATCCAGTGATCTCATAATTAGAATTAGACAGGCAGGCGCGTAGCTAGCCTATAAAGAATGTGGATTCAAAATAATCTAGGGGGGTCAGGGGGCATGCCCCCCTGAAAATTTTGAAATAAATGGTGCAATTTGATGCGTTTTGGGGCCTCCGGAGAGCTTTCTTGACCAACGAAAATCCATTTATTTTAGCATAAAAATGGAGATGAATAGCTTTACTTTCGTTTATTTCAACTAGTCTACATTTCACAGCAAGTCTAACTTGCGGCCTTTACTGGCCGCAAACTCGTTAATGATATTTTTTTTGGTCAAAATAATGTGGATTCAGCTGCGTACTCGCGTATATGCAGTTACGCGCCTGACAGGTCAGGGATTTATACAACCAGTTGTTAAGTTATCTACGCTCATTTTAATCCTAATAGAAACATTCAAATATTTGGGGTAAAAAACATGACAAAAATACCTAGTAGTCGTTTACCCGTCGGTGATCCCATTAAACTGATTATAGATTCGAATAGAAAACACAAATAGAAACATGTGTTTCGGTAAACAAAAATCGGAAGTAAAGTGAAGAGTTAAATGACAGAAATATGTGGTCAAATATGTTTTAACAAGGGAAATAGTATTTCAGAGAAAGACGCAAAGATCAGTCTTCAATCAAATGAATGACCCCGCATTGTGTAATTAGAAAGTTTATTCCATTCTAGGGCAACGAATCATAATTTGATAGTCCATGTGTAATAAAATTTTCAATACAGATTATGAGATACATGAAAATATTAAAGAATAAGAAGCTTTAAAAAAAATAATAATAAATAAAAAGAACTTATATGTTTGTGTTCTAAAAATAATTGGCTGCATAAGACGAATTTCGTATTCATTTTACAACACTTGAAAAAATACTACAGAAAATGTGTTGTTGTTTTTTTTGTTTTGTTTTCAACAAAAGTGTGTGTGTGTGTGTGTTTTAAGTTCATTTATACTCGGCGCCGGAATAACCATATGTCCGAGATTATAGCATCGGGGACGTCTTTTTCAAGCAGAATCTTCCTGGTAGCCCATTCTTCGTTCGTTAGTGGTAAAGGAGACGACAATACTGTCAAGGCATCAACTTCCTGACTGACGACAACAGAAACGGCATTTATTACCGCCAAACCTCCAGAGTAAGTTTCGACAGGTCAACCAATTACCTCTGGTACTTAAGATGACTTGACCTTGACCTGCCGTGTGCCTAGCTTCTCCGCGACGTGCATGCCTCTGGAGGGATTTGGAGAAGTTTCAACAAAAACTTTTTGTCCGTAGAGCATGAATATTAATACTAATCACAAGACAGTGGTGTCTTATTGATCTTAATTATGGTACATGTAAAAAAGTATATTTTCTATGTTCAATAAAAATGTTGCATAACTTGCAGTTGTTATTATCATTCAATGATATTAAAATGACAAAGTATTTATGATGAACAGTCCTATAATATTTTGATAAGGAACCGTCAGTTGTAAAATGGTATTATGATCTTATAATGAACAGTCGTCATACTTGCTGGTATGTCATTTATAAATGGCAGTTTAGGTTTTTCAAAATTTGCATGATTAACAGTCCGAATGTAGACCTCAATGAAATGTTCTGGAATATTAACAAAATGAATAGTCAACCATATAAACCATATATATATGAATGGTTGAACACAACAGTAAGGATGAATGGCGCAATGTGCATATCTTCTCTTTGAAATAACAGCACATTTTAAGCAAAAAGAAAAGAAACTATAAGTCTGAAACATTCTGTCATAGCCTTCCCATCAGTACATTCAGTGCTTTGATTTATTGTTGTTGATGTTTTAAATGGAAATAAAACATTTAATGCCGTTAGCGTATATGATATCGAATATTTGATCAGAAAATCGAACTCTGCATGTTGACCTGTGTATTACACCGTCGTGAGGACAACACGGTTACAGTGTCTCTATCTCTGTTCACTGGAGCGAAACAGATGCATACCACTAAACCTTACTTTCCCACTAGGTAGATCTATACAAAAAAAGATATATCTTTATAAGTAGTTTATGGTGAAGTGTATATCATTTCCCGCCTGTTTTTCACTAAATTGTTGTTATTTATGATAGTGTACAAATCTGCTTATACAATGCACACAGTAGGCTTTATTCAATGTAATGTTTTAAAAATCGTGACTTAAGGCTCGGCAAAAATGTATTTATAGAATTTTGCTAATACGGGTATTTTAAGATATCCAATAATGTTATTTTGAAGACATTATCGGACGAGGTTTAATATTCGATTTTTGGAGTACATGTTTGTGTTTTGACATAAAAATCATTTTAATTGCCTTAACTGATTTTTTTCTCTATATGTTTACGGCAGTGGGACAAACTTAAAACAAACAATATGTGAATTTTAAATCGAAAATAATCGCTGTTTAGGGATAGTAAAAAAGAAGTTTCTGCAATATACAAAATGGCGGCCGTTTCGGGTATGTAGTCTTGTTTATAAACAATATTTGTTTTTAATATAATTGTGCATACTTCTTGAGATGATCTCTTCATTATCAAATATGTTTTAATGTTTATGTGTTCGTGTTAAGAAAGTAAAATATTTTCACTTTTACGCAGCTTTTATGTATTAATATTTACTGTTAAACTTAACGTTTAAGCTGAAATTTATGTCCTAGCTAATGACACAGAATTTTGCAGAAGTTCTAAAACCTTAATCACGTGCCAGACAGGTATTAATGGGTATTATCTATTAGTATGTTTATAAAATTGAACGATGAAGAATGCGTTATAACTTTTAAGTTGATGTAAAGCCCCTTAAACTGTAATTGCGTGTCTGGAATGTATTTCAATCGTTAATTGTTTATTAGTATGCATGCAAAATTCTTAAAACATTTAACAGTAAAGAAAGCATTATAACTTGCAAACTTAATGCAATAACATTAGAAAATATCTATGCAAGTACAGACAAGTTAAGTGCATTAATTGTTTAACAGTACGTATATTCAATACATTTGTATTACATAAATATGCGGCTTTCATTTATACCCTTAAGCCTATATAGGTCTATGCATTTCTGTTTGCATAAACTTACACTAAATAGACACAATTTATTGTTGTATGCAAGGTAGTAAGTAGGCACATTTATTTTGTCACAGTGTACAAAACGTTAAAAAAGGTGTAGTTGTCAGATATGATACTGTTATATATAGTTATAACAGATGTGGTAGATATGTTTATGACACATTAATTGTATGTGGCTAGTTTAATAACAAGCAACCAGTAGTACAAATTGTAACACACCCTTTCCGTTCAATCTCTTTCCAGATACTGTAAACATTATTAGTATTTTGTCATCAATATGGCGCTATTGTCATAGCTTGTTAATTATGCATATAAAGAAATGAAAAATAGCATCATATTCATATTCTTCGCTCATATTTGGAGGAAGTTAGAACAAAAACGTCTCTGTAACTACTCGTAGTAATGAACGCATATGAAGTATATCAAAATATAAAAAGATACATTCCCTTACAAAATATTCAGCTACATTTTTAGAAGTCAGCGATGATTCCGTAAATGCGATAAGTACATTAGCTTTATCAATTCTTTGAATTAGGTTCTTCGATATTTTTATCAAAATTTCAACAAACATTCTACTGATCACTGTCGAATAATGCCTTATTTGCTCTCCAATGAAACCACCGGTCAGCAAATTTCATGTGATCATAAAGCAACGTGTGATAAGATTCATGTTTTTATTGTTGCAAAAAAACTGTTTAAAATACTAAAATTGTTTTAAATATTGAAATAAATTATAGCCAGATTAAGAGCGCTTGCTATCCTAAAGAACACATAAAATGTATTAGAGTCCTCTCTCCATTCGAAAATGAGTCATATGTCCCTAATACACGCAATAATGTCACGTGAATTGTTGAAAGATATACAGTTATAAATTGTACTCAAGTACACATTTTCTAAATATTTGTTTACACACCTGGAGACAAGCAGCTTTAAAAGTACAAGTTATATTGTTTAACCACGTGAGACTGACTCATATATTGATTTGTAGATATATGTACACAGTGATTTCACTTAATGGTAAAAATCTCGACCAGGACTAACAAAACAACGTGAATCTTAATTTAAGGGTAACTCCGCGAGCAAGGGCGGTTCACGTTATTCTTCCCGCCAAAATGTTATATTTTTTTAAAAGTTTAAATATTCAAGGAGAGACAATTTTATGTAAACCCTTTAGTTGTTGTCATCGTTTTTGCAAAGCATATCCTAGGGATATCGGAGAGATGTTCCGAATAATGTATAGAGTATCTATCAACGTTCTTCAATATGTACATTATTATAGACTTATAACATCAAACATGAATACGAATTGAACTCTATATATATCCTTAAAATCTATTAATTTTTAGCCAGCCTTGTGAAAAAGTTTTGTATTCTGAGATACAAACTAGAACTAGACGTTTTAAAAGCGACATAATACACGATTAGAAAGAGGAAGTTCGTTGTTCTTTAAGTTAACTGTCCTATACACGGTAGTCTTACCTTATTACAGGAATTACTCTCGATTAAAAAAACAATTTCCATTGAACCAGATTATTTTGGCGTGTTACCCCAGAAATATCAATTATTAAACTATTTCCTGCTAGAATTTTAAACCGTTTGTGTTAGAAGCGCTTAAATGCTTCTTAAATGTACATTTAATGAAAACCAATAGTTTTTCAATTAAAAACATAAATATTTCAAATATATGAATTTTCAGGTATTGCTCTCGTCTCAACATTACTGTCAGTTGCGCATGCGTCTCGTATGATTTATATAGAACCTTCCGGCAGCCCAAAACTTAATGAAAACTTTGAAATGGAATGTGAATCCTACTTTGACATGGACTTAGGAGAGGTAATATAATTATATTCTGATGATAATCTTAAAAGTTAATTGTTGTGTTATGTCCCCTATTTTTAATGAAAATATTTTTTCGGAAATTGTCTCCCCTGTATTTTATTTATAATATTTTTTTTGTGATTATCTCCCATTATTTTATTTAAATGGTATTTTTATATAGGGTTATCTCCCTTGCATTCAAAATCTTTTATTCAATCGCATTTTCTCGGCACTTTCCGTCAAACTTCAGATTAGGATAAGTTATTATGAATAATATGCTGATATATGCAGTTTGTCTTTTATTTTTGTTACCGCCCTTTTGTTTATTAGAAATATTTGCACATGCATGATTAAAAAAATCCTTATATATAAGTACATGTATATAAAATATTTAAATTATTTACTTTTTGGATATTTATTAAAATATCCGTAAATGTATTTTACTAATAAGGTTAATTGAATTTGTAAAATATTAATCCTAAACATTTATTTGCTTATCCCTTTAAACCGGGAATCCTTTGTTACGGTGAATTATGGTTTGCCCAGTTTCAGGTTTTCTGGCATAAGAACGGCAAATATAAGTATTTGTCGGCAACAGACAGAAGTCCTCCATACTATTTTCACGATTCATCCTTAGGCATACGAAGTCTGTCTGCGCATGATCAGGGGAACTATACATGTTCTATCTACTACAATAGTGCTTTTAACTATAGTGACGTCTATGAACTATACCTTGGTCTAGGTACGTTTGTTACATCTAATTCTTAGTAGTAGGACATTTACATCATCATCATCATCATCATCATCATTATCATCATCTTCATCATCATCATTATCATCATCATCATCTTCTTCTTCTTCTTCCTTAACTTCTTCTTCATCATCATCATCATCATCACCATCACATCATCATCATCTTCATCATCTTCGTCATTATCATCATCATCATCTTCATCATCATCATCATCTTCTTCTTCTTCTTCACCTTCCTTAACTTCTTCTTCATCATCTTCTTCATCATCTGCATTTTAATCATGATAATGATCGTCAATTTTTAAACATTAGTATGATTAGCCCCATAAGATAAATAGTATTTCTAATTGAACAATAATTTTATGAATATAATTTACTTCATCTATAAAACTTATCATCATCATCATCATCATCACCATCATCATCATCATCATCCTTGCTAAGTATTATTTCTGTTTTCACGATAATATGTTCACTTGCATGCCTCACAAGCACATTGCATTCTTCCGCTTGAATACATTTAAAATGAGGTAAATATTTGTGCACCCAGGATTCAAACACACAAACAAGTCACGTTTTCCATTGATGGTGCATACGGTATAGATCGCTATTTTGAAATAAGAAATTATTATAATTCAAATGCATTCCATGATTTAGATATGAAATAAATATTAATTAATGTCTCCACAAAAATATAAAATCATGTGTGACGATTTGTTTGAAGAACAAATTTATACATTAAACCGGATATTTTTGCAAATCAGATCTTGTCACAGTTACATAAGCTTTCAAGATTGATAGTTTGATTAAATAATGCACGTTTTTATCGTGCATATCTTTAAAATGCAGAAATTTAAATTAAACGCATAGGAAAAAAGTGTTCAACCTTCACTTTTTATACTTTTAAAACTGATGATAAATCCTGTAAACACTTCCTTTCCCTATAATGAACATGTTTTATGATTGTTGCATATGATTTTTGTGACTTCTTCAGCGCCAGACCTCTATCTAGCTGATAGAAATAAAGTTCAAGTTGGTGACGAAGTTAAATTTGTGTGCAGCCTTATAGCCGTTCACCGACAGGTAAATAAACCTTTCGCCAGCTGGCGGCAACAGATTATGCGCATGCGCGGACCAGCGCAGACCACGAGCAGCCGGCACATCCATGCCGCCTGACCATGGTCTGCACTGTCTGTTCTTTAATCAGTTTATATTTTACGATTTTCTTAAAAATGATGAATGATTTAGTCCAGAGTGAAAGATGGACGAGTCTGTTAAAGATATTGAGCAATATAACACACAAGTATCATTAAATTTTCTTATTCTTAACGAGAAAATTAAAATTATTCCAAATTAATGTAAATATTATGTAATGATTTTATGTCATTTGATGTGATTTGTATGAATAGCAGCCATTTGCTGAATATTGTATCAATGGAATTCAATTCAATTGATATTTATGCACAAGTGACACACAAAAAGTGAATGATCGGTGCATAAACGTGAAAATTCGATGTAGCTCTAGAGTTTTGGTCATCAATAGTAATTTTTTGTAAAGAGTTATTATCTCTCTTCCTGTGCCGAAAAGTTGCGCAATAAATACGACCGAAAACGTCTTTAAAAAAACTTATAATGTACAGAGGAATGTCTATAAATGATACGGTAACAATTCAATTTTACATCTGCTCAAATAAAATGTGTGAAACATAGTTATTATTTCATCTCTATTTCAGCTTAATTGGGTGTTTAAAAGTGACGTCACACAAGATATACTAGACCCGGCCACTTACAACAGAACTATGGGCTTTGTGAGAGAATATCAATTTACTAATGATACAGGGTCGTTTTTAGAAATTCATTTACGAAATGTTAGAGTAAAACAGTCTGGAACTTATTCCTGCTATACGGACAAAGAAAGAATTGTTCACGGGGATGAAGAACTTATCGTTAAAGGTAATTAGCAACTGAAATATAAAAAAAAATCAGAATGAACTCTAACAAATGAACATTTGGCATGCTGATTATTTTATACATGATTTTTCTTTTGTGAAAACGGCGATAATGGAATTCAAATAGTCTACAAAAATGACTTTTTGAAGTGTTGACGAACAGTTTGTACCCACGATTAAATATGAAATTGTAGGAGAGCGTTTTGCTTGCTGGTTAAGTAAAATGCGTCTTGTGCAACCATTGGGTCGTGGGTTCAAGCCCTTATAAGCCTAAAGGGGTTACATACATACTTCCTAATATGGGATCAGTACTGGGTTATTCCAGGGAGCCGACAAGCAAAGCTATAATCACAACCGAGCTTAAATAAATACAATTGCGTAATCTTAAAAGAATATTATATTATATGACAAAAACAATGAAATACCGACATAAAACATTTGGGTGTATTTTTATGAGGGGGTTGTTGTTGTTTTGTTTATTTGTTTGATTTTGTTGTTGTTTTTGTTGTTGTTGTTGTTGTTGTTGTTGTTGTTGTGGGCAACGATATGGCAGCCATGAACTTTATTAGTTATGGCTCAACCTATTTTTTAATGAAATTTTCTTTAAGTTTGAAATTAAATCGTTATATTAATTTATTTAGGCTATGAGCTGTACTGTGAAAAGTCGGAGGTTCGAGCTGTGGTTGGCAGTGATGCCGTGATCACGTGCTATGTTTACAGCAGTGACAAGCAGAGAAAAGATTACATTCAATTCATAGAGAACATGAAGGTCATTGATAGCTTCACACAAAGGTTTGATCTAGTTTTATCTCGCAGATAAATGATATTGATAAATTTTAGAACACGTTTTTTTAAACGTGCAAAATGCAACATTTCAGTTATCGTTGTATCTTTCACTAAACAGTGTCAATCTTTGCTTAAATGTTATTTATTTCTGCATTTCACCAGCTTTAAACCCTATCATTAACAGACACGAAATAAAGATCAAATTTCTTGCATTATTCGACATATCTTTGCAGTGTGAACAATACCAAACTTTTAATTAGATAGAAATTGAGGCTTATATATGCGTAGTTATGAAAATGCAAATTAAATTGACAATTTTTGAACGGTATTTTCTTCTTATTAACGTACTAAGCCTTATACACAACTTAAAATTTCATTATTATCCCCCGCCGAAAGAAATAGTCTCCGTCCGCCTGTCTTTCCACCCGTCCTTCCGTCCGACATTTTTGTCCGGAGCATATCTCAAAAAGTATTTGAGGTATCAACTTAAAACTTCATAGGTGGATAGATCATATTGAGGAGGAGTGCAGTGCTTAAAAATGATAACTCTACTTTACATAATTTTTCAGTTATTGCCCTTTGTTACTTTTCAAACTTAATTTTTGTCCAGAGCATAACTCAAAAAGCCTTTGAGATATCACCATGAAACTTCATGGGTGGATAGATCTCACTCAGGAGATGTGCAGTACACAAGAATGACAACTCTACCCTTCAGTACTTTTGAGTTATTGCCCTTTGTTATTTTTCATACTTTATTTTTCAACTTAGTGGGGTATAACTCAAAAAGTCTTTGAGATGTCAATATGAAACTTCATAGGTGGATAGATCTTATTGAGTAGGAATGTTGTGCATAAGAATGATAACTCTACCTGTTTTAACATTTGAGTTATTGCCTTTTGGTATTTTTTGATAGTTTTTGTTCAGAGCTTATCTCAAAAAGTGTTAGAGGTATCAGCTTGAAACTTCATAGGTGGATAGACCATATTAAGGAGGAGTACAATGCACAAGAATGATAACTCTACCCTGTATAATTTTTCAGTTATTGCCCTTTGATATTTTTCAAACTTAATTATTGTCCAGAGCATAACTCAAAAAGTCTTTGAGATACCAACATGAAATTTCATGGGTGAATAGATCTCACTCAGGAGGTGTGCAATGCACAAGAATGATAACTCTACCCTTCATAATTTTTGAGTTATTGCCCTTTGTTATTTTTCATACTTAATTTTTCTCCTGATCGGAGCATAACTCAAAAAGTCTTTGAGATGTCAACACGAATTTTTATAGGTGGATAGATCTTATTGAGGAGGAATGCTGTGCACAAGAATGATAACTCTATCCTTTATAATGTTTGTTGCCCTTTGTTATTTTTAGCTCACCTGTCACAAAGTGACAGGGTGAGCTTTTGTGATCGCTTTTCGTCCGGCGTCCGTCCGTCCGTCGTCCGTCCGTCCGTAAACTTTTACTTTAAATGACATCTCCTCATAAACCACTAAGCCAATTTCATCCAAACTTCACAGGAATGTTTCTTTGGTGGTCACCTTTAAAAATTGTTCAAAGAATTTAATTCCATGCAGAACTCTGGTTGCCATGGCAACCGAAAGAAAAAACTTTAAATATCTTCTCTAAACAAACCCTAAGAGCTAGAGCTTAGATATTTGGCATGAAACATCTTCTAGTGAGTGTCTATCAAGTTTGTTCAAATAAAAGCCCTGGGGTCAAATTGGCCCCGCCCCAGGGGGTCATTGATTTTCCCTATATGCACATAGTAAAAACTTAAAATATCTTCTTTTAAAGAACTCAAAAAGCTAGAGCTAAGATATTAAGCATGAAACATGTTCTAATGGGTGTCTACCAAGTTTGTTCAAATAAAAGCCCTGGGGTCAAAATTGGCCCCGCCCCAGGGGGTCATTGATTTTCCTTACATGTATATAGCAAAAACTTAAAAAATCTTCTTTGAAAAAACCCAAATAGCTACAGTTTAGATATTAAGCATGAAACATCTTCTAGTGAGTGTCTACAAAGTTTGTTCAAATGAAAGCCCTGGGGTCAAAATTGGCCCCGCCCCGGGGGTCATTGATTTTCCTTATATGTGTATAGCAAAAACTTAAAACTCTTCTGTGAAAAAACCGAAATAGCTAGAGTTAACATATTAAGCATGAAACAACTTCTAGTTAGTGTCTACAAAGTTTGTTCAAATAAAAGTCCTGGGGTAAAAACTGGCATCGCCCTAGTGGTGTCATTGTTTTTAACTATATGTGTATAGTAAAAACTTTAAAAAAAATCTTCTTTGAAAAAGCCCAATGAGCTCAGAGCTTAGATGTTTAGCATGAAACATCTTCTTATGAGTGTCTACCAAGTTTGTTCAAATAAAAGCCCTTGGACTAAAATTGGCCCTGCCAGGGGGGGGGGAGGCCTATATACAGGTGAGCGACCTCAGGGCCATCATGGCCCTCTTGTTCATACTTTTTGTTCCGGAGCTTATCTCAAAAAGTGTTAGAGGTATCAACTTGAAACTTAATAGGTGGATAGATCTCATTGAGGAGGAGTGCAGCACACAAGAATGATAACCTACCCTGCATTATTTTTCAGTTATTGACCTTTGTTTTTTTTCAGCCATTAGTATTCACATAGGTTTCAAATCTGTAATCTCTTCAGCCATCAGTTTTCATTACAAAAGAACCTTTTTAGATTGAATTATTCTGCTTTACTTCATATACATTCTCACAATGAGCAAACACATTCGGCGGGGGATTGCCATGCTAACATGGCTCTTGTTTCAATTGTTTTTGTTGTTGTTTTTAAGGGTGTCGATTGACATTGATGACAAAGATGCCTTAACAACTTACGTACGTTTCAAACTAATGAATGTCAACGAGAATGATGATCAGAGATCCATAAAAATCAAACTGAAAAATATCGTGTATGTTGCACCCGTAATCGTTCGGCTTACCGTGTTACGGACTCCAGGTAAAAGCTTTCTTCATACCGGTTTATCATTTTGCAATATGTTGATTCTGAATGTTATTTTAAATTTGAAGAGAAAGACCTGAGCAATTGAAGTTTAAACAAATCGAAATAATAATGGGAAGGTTATAAGTCTGAGCTAAATACACGGATTGGCGATACCGACGGAAATACCGAAAGACACTTTTAATCCGGAAAAAATCATAAGTAACCTAACTGTGCAATCTAAAAATACTTTTAAAAAACAGTTTAAATTGACAAACTTTTATAGGCGGTTTTATAAATATTTCATTAATATGCAAAAATACATTAAAATTATAAACTTAATCGAAATATTCCTCATTTGGTGATTTTCGATATTTTCATGCGCATGAGTTTATAGGAAAACGTCAACTTAATTGGTGGTATTGTTGTTTTGGGCAAAATTTGTAACTTAATACTGAAATTTTATAAACAGTGTAAAATAATTTCGCAGGAGGAAATATGCTTAAACAAAAATTAAATATCTGAGAAACCTAACCAAACAGTAAAAGAACTTAAAAATCTGAGAAACTAAAGAAAAAACTCCTTTAGATTAATTAAAAATTAGACGCGTATACCATTTCAGAAAATTTTATTTATACATGTATTAGAATGGCCAATGAGTTTCCCAGTTTTCAAATGAACATTGAAAAGTTTACATATTCAGTTCACCCCTGTCTAAATTACAGGAAGTCAAACTTAATTTAGACGACCTTCGGCCGAAAAATAGATCTACATATTTTGTTTAGCTTTGAGATGTTTTGACAATCACCTCTCTTTTCTTAAACAAAATAAGCGCAAACACCAAATAAGCCTGGCCATTTTTATGCATGTTTTAAACATCATTGAATTTATTTAACAAAACGTTTTAAGCTGTTCAAGCCATCATTGTACCTCGACATGCAATAAGCGTTCATAGGATAGTGACTTTTATTACTCCGACGCTTATTACATAATGTTTCGCTTAATTTCATTGGCTTAAATGTGTTCACAATAATGATGGCTTGGATATCTTGACGTTTCATTTGCATTTGCTTGCTGTATAATATCGCATGCACACACTCTTTAACCATGAACCTGCTGGAACCGGAAATTATAAGCCTTTGCCACCTGTATAGGGTCAGGCCAATCGGTACCCATCAGGCAAAGTGCAAATTTGTAACATCGTTTTTCATTGGATAACTGTATAGTTGATATTATTAGTTATAAAGATTTTGACAGGTTAAATGGTCCTTTATAAACGGCTGTTTGGAAATATAGACCGAGCTGCCAGGTGAGGGTAATCTCGTTTATATAGGTCATATAACCTGTCAGGAATATTCATAACGAATTTATAATACAGCAAACTTCCCTTTTTTTAGTTTTATATACACGGCTGCTTTTAATTTATGGAGATATCTCTTTTTTCTAAAAACAGGAAGCTTCCCGTATTAGATATTCGTTATAAAGATTCCTGACAGGTTATATATCCGTATATAAACTGTTGTTTGCAATATAACTGTTCATATAGAGTCATATAACCTGTCAAAACTTTTATAACTTATAATATACGGTTAGCTGTTGATCATATTGAAATTCCTTAAACTTTTAATTCAAAGCAGGGCAAATTCATAACACAATTCGGCAGGTTAAAGGTTAAAGAATAACAATTTTCGGGAAGTTTTTGCTGCACATAAGGTTTTCACTTCAACTGAATTTGTATATCATATAATTTGTATGTTCTTTACACATTGTTTATAGACAGCCGACAGTGTGATTGCCCGAAGGATAAACTGTGTGATTCGGCTAACAACTGTGTTTGCCCGATAGGATTAACTCCCCGCCAAGGAGGAAAGTGCGGCTCTGAAACGCCCGGTAACATTAATTAATTAATTAATGATTTTATAAAATTGTTTTCTTTTCGCGTAAATCTCACATGCAGTTTGTGATTATTATTCCTGAAGAGCACTTTTGTGTAGAATGGTTAATGAAAACAGCTATTTAGATATTTCATTTATGTTGTCTGCAAATTTGTGCTTATTGCGTTTTTTAAAGGTAATTTACTATGTTTTCGAGGCATCAGTTGAACAAACAGTTTCAAGCAGAAATTCCTTCACAAATCAGTTTAAAATTGTCGTCGTTTCAAAACACATCTCAACAGCTGCGCAAATAACGGTCTTCTGTTGAAAGGTCAGATATGTAACATCTCTGATACAAAAATAAATTTATAGCATTTTATTTCAGTCATGAAAGGAAACAATGAAATTGCTATGATAATGATCGAACAAGTCAATTCTAAAACTGGTCTTTTGCCAATTTGTCAAATATGTCACACTGTGTCAAATTACTTTCTACAAACCTTTATATTTTGTTTAAAAACAGCGCTTGCTTGTAGTTAATATAGATGTTTTTTCAGTATCAATTAATATGCTGGTATATATGAACAAAATAGAATGTCCTCAAATTTAAAATCAGAGAAATAATCACAGTAGAATAATCGAATATGAATGCGGAAAAATCTATAATTTATGCTTCTGCTTTAAAATGTACCTGCACCACTCTTTTCTGTTGCTGATATAACGCTTATTGCATTCACTCAAATGCTTACATAAAGTGGAGCTCATTCATATGCACAGTTACGTGTTTTTAGTTTCTATAAATAGTTTTTGTTACTGTAAATAGATATTTGTTACTGTAAATAGTTTTTTTTGTTACTATAAATAGTTACAGGCATCTTTTTCTTTCGCTTATGTGCTTAGTTGCTAATTTTGTACATCTTTGCAATAAACTCTTTATGTAGCTTTTGTCAAGAATATGAAACATTCGTCATATTTGCTGGTAATGTGAATAACAAAAATTTAATTATTTATTATCGTATAAGTTACTTTGCTTTTTCTATATATTCATCTGTCCTTGCATCTTAACAGACACGCGTTCTTTATGCTATTTATATTTTTAACATACTTACTAACTTTTCATACAGGCAAACATCACCGCGGAGGTATTTTTATTTCTTATTCTTATAAGCATGACTTTCCTCAATGTTCTATAAATGGTAACATAGTGGTTATAAATAGTAATATCTAAACTGTACACGAAATTGCATGTGCTGGAAAGAATTGTAAAAATCATATTTGACAAAGATACAAGAACTTGAAACTTGCATGCCATATTGCCAATGGTTATATTTCGCGGCGGATTCTTCAATGCAAATAAAGCAAACATTGTGACATATGAGCCGCGCCATGACAAAACCAACGTAATGCGTTTCCGACCAGCATGGATCCAGACCAGCCTGCGCATCCGCGCAGTCTGATCAGGATCCATGCTGTTCGCTTACAAACCCTATAACAAGTAGAGAAACTGATAGCGAACAGCATGGATCCTGATCAGACTGCGCGGATGCGCAGGCCGGTCTGGATCCATGCTGGTCGCAAACCCATTACATGTATGTTGGTTTTGTCATGGCGCAGCTCAAATTTCTTTATGATACATGCATGAAAATGGTGAGAAACGATAAGTATAAGCGTAAAAAAGGAAAATGAAAATATATAAGGTTGGTTGCGATGTATGGCCAAAATTTAAATTTAGAGCTGAATGAACCAATTCGATTGTATTGTTTTTAATTATCATTGTTGAGTTTTGAAATCTTGATATTTTTTTAAAATTCTTGTCTGCAATAATTGCAGATCTTGTAAAGTTTCTATGCGTGCATGAAAACAGTGAGAAAAGGCGACCTAACTTTGTTTAGAAATTCAATATCTTACAATGTAAGACTTGTGACTTTTAAAAAATTGTATATGTTTGTAAAACAGTTTCATTCTTATGAAGATACAAAAAATAACATGTTCATTCGATTCAGGGGCAAAGAAGAAAACAAGTAACTCCGGTAAAGAGTATGGAGAAAATAGCATTTTCACCTTTTTATTTGTCAAGCACACGTTATTTGCCCATTTACCCTTGCTAATCCATTTTCCAGTTAACTTTTTTATAACAAACTGTCTTACAGATATATATATAATCGATAAGCAAAAATGTTTCCCTTTAAAAATGTTTTACACCTTAGAGCCTAATTTTTTATACTTTATAGTTTTTATTTGTTTGGGTCGTCAGACTCGTGTATAGTCTTCTTCAGGCCGTTTACATAATTATAACTTCACCGTGGCCGAGGGGTTTGCACGCTCGCTTAAGAATCGAGATGTTTTTTAAATTGTTTAAGTCAAATAAACATTGAATTGAATATCAGTGTTGCAATTAGTCTTATTGCCAATTTACTACAGTTAAAACACTGGAAAGCATTGCTGGCATTATACAAAAACAAATTGGTTTATAATCTCACAACCTTCACCTTTCTGACATTCTGAGACCCAAAGAAATTCAGCGCATTCTGTGCTTTGATTTAATCATATTATCAACTGATTATTACTTACGTTTTAATGACAAAAATGTTGCCAATTCAATTATTTGCTGGTAATGTGAATAACAAAAATTTAAGTATTTAATATCGTATAAGTTACTTTGCTTTTTCTATACATTCATCTGTCATCGCATTTTAACAGACACGAGTTATATTTTTAACATACTTACTAACTTTTCATACAGGCAAACATCACCGCGGAGGTATTTTTATTTCTTATTCTTTTAAGCATGACGTTCCTCAATGTTCTATAAATAGTAACAGAGTGGTAAAATCTAAACTGTACACGAAATTGCATGTGCTGGAAAGAATTGTAAAAAACTATTTGACAAAGATATGCATAGAATACAAGAACTTGAAACTTGCATGCTCTATTCCCAATGGTTATATTTCGCGGCGGATTCTACAATGCCAATAAAGCAAAAATTGTGACAAATGTCAGAACGGTGGCTTCTATAAATGAGCCGTGTCATGACAAAACCAACATAATGGGTTCGCGACGAGCATGGACCCAGACCAGCCTGCGCATCCGCGCAGTCTGATCAGGATTCATGCTGTTCGCTTACTAACTCTATTACAAGTTGAGAAACTGACAGCGAACAGCATGGATCCTGATCAGACTGCGCGGATGCGCAGGCTGGTCTGGATCCATGCTCGTCGCAAACCCATTATGTTAGTTTTGTCGTGACGCGGCTCATTTCTCTTTTTTATGAAGATGTATGCAAAATATTTTTTCATAATTATGCATGTCCATTTTACTTTTTCTTTGCTAATATCATTAATTTTGGCATTTTTTTGTCTGTCATTTATCATTTATTTATCATTTTTTTATCTATTTATATAAAAAAAGACTAGAATTTCCTTTGAATTTATGCAGATGCTTTGTTAAAAATATCTTGCAAACTTTGACCCTCAGTTTATTTGCTTTTTTATACAAAATTTTTCTTTTTCTTGTCGCTACCTATTATATTTAGAAAATCCAATGATATTTAATTCGCAGACAATGGCAAAATACCAATTTATCAATTTCTTTTTGGTACTAAATGAAAAAAAATCATCAACGGAAATTAAGAACGTCACCTGTGATTGTTGAACGTGGCAAACTCCTACAGTCAATTCCCAGCACTGAACGTTAATTAAAAGCTGTCGTTCCCCCAAAAGTTCTGGGTCGGAACAAAAAAAAATTCATGCAAGATTTTATATCTAAACTACTATGTAGCTATATCCTATGAAAAATAATTACCAGGAACAAAAGCAAAATTAACAACGTAGAAATATTAACGGAAAAATAGCATATCTGTCTTTTCCTCAATTAAGGAAATTTATTTTGTACTTAAGTATAATTCGTGTGATGGTGCTTCTACTGTTACAATCTATTCTTATAAGTAAGATATTTGCTTGGAAAAAAAAGTTCAACGAGTCCGACACGCAAATCGTTATTCTCTGGACAAAATGATTAACTGAAGTACATTGTATATAAGCAATTCAATAGGCACGGGAATATGTTTATTTTATTCGCAGATTCCACCACAGATGCAGGTAAGATATCACGGTTTTCTTGGAGCTTTGTAAATGAATTATTTTGATAATTAAGTACATGCAATTACTTTTTTAACAAAGTCATTGTAAAGTTTTGCAAACCTTAAAGTTTGTATAAGCTCAATATGACAATGATATATAATATAAACAAAGATTCTAATCGCAGCAGAGATAAACTTTGTGCTGTTTTATATCAAATATGTTCTCCAACGCTTTGCCGTTTCAACAACACGTTGATGTGACGTCATGGAAATGACGTTATATTCGAAACGTTGGGTAGCGATGATATAGAATTTCATTTACATTAATGCTTTTATTTATGTACGCATTAAAACTAACAATGCAAAAATCGATATTTCAGTCATATATGAAATCGATATTATGGGATTGGATCTAATTTATTTAATATTTATTCATATTCTTCGTATATTTTAAACGCGTTTTTGTTTCATTGGTTCTTATTGTTGCAGTTAGATATATCAGGGCTTTAGATTACAATTTGTAATGCATATCCTTGGCTCTATGTTTAAACTTGTAATTTCTTATTCTAGTTCTCTTTATTTTTCATAATTGCGTTTTTATTGCGCCACAATTCCTTACAAATATTTTATTAGATTGGTGAATATTTGTTAAATCTTTGTGCTTTGGTCATTAGCAGGGAACAATTTTAATAAAATCTTATTTGATTGGTCAATGCATTCTTAAGAATCTGTACCCGATTGGTCAAAATTAAAGAACTTATGCATAAAGCTCTTTTTGGATTGGTCAATGTTATAAAACTTATAAAGTGATACCGGATTGGTCAAAATTATAGGAGAAGAATCTAAAAATAAATATTATCATATCTTTAACTCTTTCAAGTAATGTCGATTTATTTTTAAACGCTTCTTGTCAATAAAAAGTGTACTAGCAAATATAACATGTACTATATATTTATCTTATATCCTGGACCAACATCAAATAATTGCATCTTCAAGTAGCTATATTGACTTATTAAAACCCATATCTTGCTGAAATTATGAAATGGATTTGTCCTACTTTGCATTTGGAACAGTCCATCTAAAATTAAGGGAATTTCAATATCAAAATACTTTAAAGGGGCTAGCCTGATTGTAAAGATGCACAAGCTTGCACGGCTCTATACTGATGACAAAGACTTCCGGTTTCAGCAGGATAAGTGGGTATACTGTGCTCCTCTTAGTTCACGGTACTTAACGCTTTGAAGCAAGAAAGAAAACAAAACATGAAACGTGTGGTACAAAAATTGTCATAAGCTGTAACATATAGGTATTTTTTGTTGTATGACTCAAGGAAACAACAATATATTTAGTCAATGAGCCAGACGTAGACCATATGTCGGCCATTTTGAAAAAAAGTATGTTATCATTTCAATCGCGGTAATGGTGTTTATTTCAGTTTTTTCATGTTTCAGTTAAAATTTCTACATGTTATTTTGCATAATTTGAAATATTAAAAGTATGTTTACATTATACCTCATTTTTTTCAACGAACAAGAACATTTAGAAAATGATGATTGTTTCAGACGTATGCACAAATTTAATGGACTATTGTTGCTTTTTGCAGAAGTTTGTAAAATGTTGTTCTGTTTTACGTAAAAATCTATAGATTTAAAATATTTTGCACAAAACCTTTGTTGTTTAGGTGTTTGAATAAAATATGTCAATTCTGACCAATTATAACGCTGGTCATATGAAAATATGCCATTACCGTGAAATAAGTGATGACGCGGAATTAGTGATGTTGAGTATAAATGGTATTCAGCTATAATTGGTGGAGTACAAATGAGCCGCGCCATAACAAAACCAACATAATAGGTTTGCGACCAGCATGGATCCAGACCAGCCTGCGCATCCGCGCCGTCTGATCAGGATCCATGATGTTCGCTTAAAGATCCTATAACAAAGCGAACAGCATGGATCCTGATCAGACTGCGCGGATGCGCAGGCTGGTCTGGATGCATGCTGGTCGCAAACCCATTATGTTGGTTTTGTCGTGACGCGGCTCAAATGTTTAAATATAAAAACTACATACAATCACGCTATATTTGGTATTAAAACATCAAAACTTGATAATAATGTATTTTTTTTAAATATTCTGAGATAGCTTTAACAAAAATATGTCTATGATATTCAACGAAATAAATTATACGTTCCGAACTGAAATTGTAATAGGTTTAGCTTACATTATCCGCTTCACCGGAAGTCACTGCAACATTGTTCTTTAAATTTAGTAACCTTTGTTCAAAGTTCTTTTTACAAGATACGAACAAATAAATTTTTAATCAATTACGGACATCAAAGTATAGCTTGATACCTGGAACATTATTAATGCACGTATTTTACAATCTAATGTAATGGGCATACTGTTTAAACATTTTTTATAACATATTTCTCTTATATTGTGAGCTTGATTAATTTTATCTGTAACTTATTTCTGTTGTGCTATAAACTATTCATAACTGTATATATGTATGGTTTAAAATTTGATACCATAAACAGGGTCCTCTGAAGAAGATATGTATGGTATGAACATATACATGTATATCTAGTTACTCTAAAGCTTTGAGTTCTTCTCTAATCTTATCTTTTCTACATATCTCCTAGGCTTAAGCTTTCCTCTAACGTGTGTTTTTGTCCTTTATATATAATTATACCAAATGTGGTGCTTTCTGAAGTGTTGACGTGGTCTGAAATCTTTTTAATTAATGCATTTACTAATTATGCAGTAATGCTGGGTGGTAAATTTGATATAGAGAAAATGATTGTTAGGTGGTATTTTGCAAACCGTCTTGTGTTGTTGTTTTTTTTTCTTCTGTAATACACAGTAAAAAACGAGTGGTTTATATCCATTGCGAATTATTTTCTTAAGCACACACCTGCGAAGAAATTGCACATTTTTTAATTCTTATTTACACACGCATTGAGCGATATTTTTTATACACTGTATTTCTCTCATACTGTGTAATTAGTACTTGTAATGATCATATTTTGTAGATATTTTGAAATGTATTTTTTTAGATGTTTGTAATTTTATTGGTTTCATTTTTCATTTATTATATATAGTTGCTGCGTATAGAAAACAGAAGTAGAAGTTAGGTCACGCTGTTTTTCCATTATTGTGTAAAAATGACCTAAAATTGAAAATTGGTCTAACGCAATAAAATTTAATCGGGATTAGAAATCGATTAAGATATATTTCTGACTCTGCAAGTCTATTTCTTTATCTGTTGAATATTTTCTGTTTTAAGTACCCCGGTTGATCTATGAAAGAATTTTAAATTTTATGTTATCAGACTTTTGGACTTCGGTGGAACTCCTTTAAACATTAGTCTGCTTTGCGGCGACAGAATCTATTCATGCAACCAGTGCCGACCAAGATCTACCGGCACGGCACGGATCATTCCCGCCGACATAGCATGGTCTGCACTGATCGCTTTCTAGCCAATATACATTGTAAATTTTGAAATTCTTCTAAAATAATTAATGGTTATGTCCCGTTTAAGATATGGACAATTCTATTTAAGATATTTAGCGGTTGTGTATCTCATCTCATGAAATATATGTTTTATTTGTAACCTTTTATTGCTGCATGTTTTAGCTAGTCCTCCGGCATAGGGCCAGATCAGGTCCTTTAGCATCTCTATTCAATCTTACTAAACTTTATATTGTTGACTTCTAAATTTTGCGCGGTTGGTCTGACTCCATACTGACAGCAAAGGCGTATCACTTCCGGTTTCTGCAGCAGGTTATGGATTAAGTCTTTTAATCTAATAATGAACATTTCTTAATTGAAAGCAGGTTAGGTCAGTAAAATAAATTAAGCAGAATATGGGTTAAAGGAAACGTTACCTTTTGTAATTATACTGCACGTTTTGTAACGGCGATTTTTATTGGATAATTGAGGCGTTTATATTATCTATACAGTATATGTACGTTTATGAATGATTTTATTTAATCAAGAAAAGGAGCTTTGCAGTGTTTTGAAATCGGGATAAAAATAATTTTTGACAGGTTAAATGGTCGTTATGTCAAAACAATAAAAGTTGTTGGCTATTTTCAAACGCTTTTAGTTTTATATGGTAAAATCAGCCTATATCGTTTAACCCGTCAAAAATCATTATGTATACATGTACTTGGTAATATAATTATATGGAAGTCATGGGGATAAGTGCTATGTTGTAAATAGATAAAACCAATAGTTATTTGTATACTTAGAGTATACGATTTTGCATGCGTAATTTTTGTATATATTATTTGGTCTATCTGTCTATCATAATTATTTTTTAGATCTACCAATAACCTTTTCCATAGAGTGATTTGTTTTAAAACATTTCTTTTATTTTTGCATTTTATATTATGTAATTCAGGAATAAATTCTTTCTTTTAAAATTTATTCTTAAAAGGTTTGCATGGTGATAATTTGTGAGTAGCAAAATGAAAGTATAGACAAAAGATCGTATAAATTCGGCGGTATCCGTCATTTCCTGCATTTTAAATTTGAGTGATATATATATATGTTCTGCTCTGTGTCATACTGACGCTTTTTGGTCTTTTTATAAATACGGAAATTGTCGAAATGTAACGGACTTTGCCGAATGTTTCATATAATCAATTAATTAATGTAAAAAGGGAACCTTAACACTGCATTTATAGTTATTTTTAATTAATAAAAATATGTTTTATTATATCATATCATTATTAATATATATTATATAATTATTATATTATCAGATGGGCCAGACGAAGAATGGAAACCGATGGGTAACAAGGGAAATAATAAAGTCGTCGTTAACCATAATTCTGTTGCCACAATTGTGGGCTCTACAATGGGATCTCTCGGCGTTGTTTTGATTGCGCTCGTCTGCTTTATTTGTTACAAACGACGGAAAAAGGCAAAGGAAAATAAGGTATTTCACCAGTTTTAAAGCGATCAGTGATTTTAGCGTCGTATTATGTGCACATTTAGTTAATAATAATTAAAACAAAACGGGCGGTATCGTAAAAGCGTATATGTTATCAATCAATCTATTTCAAAATTCAAACAACGAATTTTAAAGATTTGCCCTCTGCTGTTTGCTACAATCCATGCTGTCTGACTAGGCTTAATACTGTAGGCTACACAATTCCTGTATGTTCGTCTTCTTTCTTTTGTAAGAAATCACCTTCGCTAGAAATTGACCGTTCCGAATTCAAAACTGGACAAGTTCATCATAAAAATTTACATAGGGGTGTAAGGGTTGCAAAATGTACTAAACACATGCTCTTTAACAGCTACAGATGGCTGTACATTATACAGACCCGAGTTATATTTACCGGTATGAGTACCATTCGGAGGCTGATCTCATCAAAGATAATCCAACATTTAACAACCCCGGGTACCAGCTGCCTCCACCAAGACCTAAAGTGTCTCTCAGGAAAGAGGTAACAGACATCATGATCTCATTTATTCATTTATTTATTCATTCATTTAATTTATTTATTTATTTATTTATTTATTTATTTATTTATTTATTTATTTATTTATTTATTTATTTATTTATTTATTTTTGAAAAAGAAAACAAACAATAATGCATAGCCAATGTATTATCCATGTTATTGGATCAAATTGATGCCGTGCATAATTGATAATTAACATTAAAAAATGAATTTCAACATTGAAGGTGTAACCTTAATTGTCATCTTTCAGATAATAATAATTTTCCACATGTATATTTCTAGAAGTACAGCACAATCTCTTCAGAGAGCCCCTCTTGAGACCAAATTCCTCTTTACAACAACAGTATCAATTCTCCTTAACGTATGACTTCATTTATTTAACCTGCCTAGAATGAAACTGCCCAGCAACGATCCAACTTTTTGTTTTGTCTCCACAAGGGTGATTTTGTAGACTGCGAAAGGCGTATAATATATATATGGGCAACCAAAAATATTTTCTGGTTTACAACATTATCGATATGTTTAGATTCACTGACATTTGTTTTTCTTCAGAATACGTATGTGTCTTTCAAAGAACGCCTTGAGTTCCCTAGAGAAAAGCTACAATTAGGTGTAGATCTAGGGGAAGGTAGATTCGGTAAAGTTATCCAAGCACGTGCAATGAACATTTCCGGCACCGGTAACTGGGAAAAAGTAGCTGTAAAGACATGCAGAGGTAAATGTTTATAATTTTAATAGGTTCAGTGTAACGGTTGCCTGGTGGTTAAAGTAACTGCCCCTCAACCAAGGGAGTGTGGAAGGGTTCGAGCATTATACGGGCCACTATTATGTCTCATCATTTGATACCAGTATTGGGTAGTTCAAGGAAGCGAACTCGAATGTGATAAATACAAGTTGCAAGAACTTGTAACATAATCGAACACAAATACATATGTGTAAATAAAAAAAAAGCTTTTATATTCTTTATTAGTTTAAACAGGATTTCCTCACGAAATTAATACTCCAGTACAGTGTGATAGCAATGTTGTATTCCTTATTATATATTAAGTAAGTAAGTAATTATGGTGATGACATTTTGCTAGTTTTGTTGCTTTTTTAAACTGTTAGCCATGCTGTGTACTCGATCATGTTTCTTCATGTCCCAAAACTCGTTTTTATAGGTAAGGACCAACTCTGGTTTTGAATTAAGTAAATTAAAAAGCCAATGAAATCAAAATCAGACATTATATAACTTTAGAACACAAGGGTAAAATATTAAACGAATAAAAAAGGGTTTCTTTGTTTATATGATAGAAATTAACGATAAACGGTAAGCTTAAGTGATAATTTAACATATCATAAACTTCATGGCTCGATTTTAAATAACAATTCTTAAATATGGAGTACATAAGTCATTTCATATCTGTAAAATATCGTGTATTTGTAGGGACAGCTACAGACTCGGAGAAACAAGATTTATACTCAGAACTTGAGATTATGAGAAAATTACCAAGCCATCCGAATCTGGTGGCATTGTTGGGCTGTTGCTCTAAAACAGGTGATAAATTCCGTCCATCCCGTCCACGTTTGTGACACTACGAACCATTTGAGTTAGCTATTAAAGAAAGATTTTGATGTAGTCGCTTAAGTGCTTTAATTTTTTTGTAATATTTTATCGTAGATTACTTTTCTGTTCTTTACTATTGATCCTAATATCATTTTCCTGAACGAGTTTCATAAAAGTTACTATCAAATGATTAATCATTCTAGATCATATGTTAATATATAAGAGATAAGTTTTTATCTACGTCTGTGTATGTTTTAATTCTTACATATTTTTCATTTCACAGTATAACATATAAATCGTTCAACAGTCTGAAATCATTTCACGTACCGATGTAATTATCTCATTTTTTTTGTACTTTATTCCTCATTATAATTTTGGGATATATAAATTGCTTCCATGTAAAATTGTCTTTTAATTTTCCCTTTATTTCTTCTTCAGATCCGTTGTTGATAATTTTGGAATATGTGCACCGGGGAAGTTTACTAAATTACTTACGAAAATGTCGTCCTAGCAGTGTTATATCCCGAAGTTCTGTAAATACAGTGTCCACCTCAGCTAGTTTGATCTCTCGCAGCTCCATGACCGCATCGTCTGCTAATTCCAGTTTTATGCAACCACGTGCAAAAGATTTGTCAATATTTGCTTTACAGATTGCACGTGGCATGGCCCACGTGGCTTCATGTGGCGTGAGTAAAATCATTACATTTTATTTTAATGATTACGTTAATCCCACAAGTGTAACCACTGAGTTATTTAAGGAACCTTTGAAATATGTTTTAAACATAGTAACGATTCTTTATCTAATGGAGACAGATAAATTGAAAGTTAATGTAAAACTAATGTGACAATGAGTCTGTTGGGATTTGATAACTATGAAAGTTTTATCTGAAATTTAATTGTGTTTCCATTTACATGTATTTCACGGTGGCAAAATATATGTATTTTTACAAGTGTTTTTTCTCAAAGTCCCCAGTATAAAATGATTCACTCATATTATTGTTAATAAATGCTATTATCGTGATGCTTTCATCTGTTAGTTATTTTAGAACAATGCATGCATTTTTGTCGCTATAAATAGATTGAATTCACTGCATTATTTTATCACATGCTTTCCAATGAAATAATTAGATATCACCAGGGTCTTTCAAATAGAATTTATTTCAAAATATTTGAAAGACCCTTATATCACTTACATCAGTGATATATTTATCATATCATACAATTTAAAAAGAAGAGAAATATTAGGTATTGATTTTTGGTTCCCTATTCTCTACTTTAAAACTGATATATTATTCTACATGCCAATGAGATATAAATCATACCACACACTTTGACACTGAGTGAAATATAGGTTCTTTTGTTGTTGTTGTTTTTTGTTCCCGGCCTATCTGTCGAACGAAATAACGAAGTAGAAGGCAAAGAAAAATATCGTATGAAATAAGCGTCACTTTGCGCCATGCTAAACTTATCTTACTGTTACAAAAAAAATCTTTATGTTCTTAGTGAGATATATTTCATATAAACACAGTAACAAAATAAATATCCCCTGTATCTTTACATTACAGATAATACATCGTGATTTGGCAGCTCGTAACGTTTTGTTAGACACTGATTTCACGTGCAAAATTTGTGATTTTGGTCTCGCACGTGATGTCGAGGGTGTTGATGTATATGAACGCACGTCAAAGGTAATGGTTGGAATTAAATATTTCTTCACTATCTTTTAAAAAATGTTGACCAATCTGTGGTTTTATTTATAAGAACTTTTTAGACGGAATGTGGTTTTCAATTTAACTTGTGTTTTAACACTAATTTGCTGTTTTCTATATTTACCAAATTTTCAAAATTTATTGACAGCTCAAGGCCTAACTAGGCATTCGACAATAAATTTTGTTTTAAAAAAATATATAGAGGATATTCAAGTTTTTTCTATAAATACATGATTTATTTTCATCAAGTGGTATGAAAATAAATATTTCATGAGTGGCGGTAGCCACGAGTGAAATATGGTAATTTTCATGCCACAAGATGAAAATAAATCATGTATTTATAGAAAAAACTTGAATTTTCTGTTTATTATATACATTTTTCTCTTTTTTGCGATAACATTTAAAAGACTTTCCCTTAAATTTTGTGTACTGGCAGAATTTAAAAGAAAGTAGTCCGGCAAGACACCAGTGAAAATACGGAAAATATGTTTCACTGCAGTGAAAAATAAATTTTTACAGTGAAAGTACGGAAAATGAAAATACGCATTTTATTTCATCAATATTTCTCAATATTTCATTTAGAAGTATATAATAAATAACAATATTTAGTTTATGGAAAAAAATACAAGCTTTTTTTCTTTCTTGAGTCATAAAGATATAAGCAATTTATATTAAATAAGGTT